ATTCTTATATCAAAAGATCTGCTATTCGATTCTCTACAGTTTTGCAAAGTTTGGCGCGATTTCGCCGCGCCATCCGGAAATCATTCTGGAAAAACCTTCGGGGGGGGGGGGCAAATTGACCCGCTACCAAGCGCGTGCTAACACCACAAGATCTTTGAACGGATTCAGGGCCCTCTAGCTTGTTACAATGGATGCAATGGACCGGCACTGAACGAAAGACCATGTTCTTCCACTGCAGAACCATACCATGTTGTTAACAAAGGTCAAGGTTCGAGTTTGAGTGGCATTAAAATCATGTGAGGTGAAGGCCAGGTCACGCCGTTTGGTACAATTTTCTGCTCTTCCACTCAAAATGACTGATGAAAGTCATTTGTTGGGAAAGGTTGCAGCCGTGTCGTTATCACAAATGGTCGCAACAAATATTTCCTCATCGATCCTTACAGTTGCGCTCACATGTTCTCTGATGTTGACCTGCAGTAACCTTGTGTGATAGACGCGACTGGACCTGGCTGATGGACAGTCAAAACTGTCAAACCATTACCTAAAACATAATAAGACAAACCAGAAGACTACGAGTTACTATATGTAGAGGCAAATATTGGATTGCAAGCCGACACCGCTGACGTCATAACTCGACGACCCGACGACAGCAAATCGTTCAGTATGAATCCGATTGGCCACTCGTCAGACACTGAAACCTTGGTTGACCTGCCTTTCGTCATCCACAGGTTATTTCCGAAACTCTAACGAGGGTAGGTTGCTTTTATTCCCTCCTTTTTAGAGGTCGTGGGTGACCAGTGACCCAACAGGCGAGCAGCCGCTGGTCGCACGTTTCGTTACCTTACAACATGTACAACTGCTCGAGAAGTAGATTTTACACTTTGCTTAGATATCTCGATTGAAGACTCACTGCGTCTGCAGTTTTATTGATCGCTTTATTGATGCAGTTTTGCTAGCTTTAGGAACCTCATTGGTACGCCAGGCCATGCTACTACACAACAAATAACCAATATCTATTGAGCCACAATCAGAGGTTCTTCCACCGAGACCTGCTTTCCACTTGTTTCAAACAAACACTCTCTCATCCCCACATAATGATCCGGCCCGGTCCGATGCGAGCGGCCGTCGCATCGACCCGGTGGCACCCTTCGAGCTGCGGACGGGGCCGGGGGTGGCGCGCCGACCGCGCCGCGCGTCTCCTTGGGCGGTGATCCGCCACCCGTCAGCCGCTCTGCCGACCCGCACCGCGCCCATCGATCCGACGCATGCCAAAATAAAAACGCACCCGACAGACGTCGTCGTCTTCGGCGCAACGACGGTTACGTCCTGTTTTGGCCCCGCGCCACCGCCGACGGAGGAGTATCGGACGCCTGATGACGGGGCAGGGGCGCAGGCAGGCACCTGATTGGGGGGGGGGGGGAGGCGAGGACCACGGCATAGGCGAGGACGGGTGCCCGGCAGCGGCAGCGCAGGGATGGAGAGAGGGTTTCGACAGGGGCGGGACAGGGCGGCAAAAGGAACGTGATAGGGGGGGGGGGGGAGTGCGGGATGGGGATGGGGCAGAAATGGAAGGATGGAGACCAGAGGCTTGGTAGCAGAAGCAAATGCCAATAAATGAGCTCAGGAAGGAGGTTCGAATGGGGTCACAACCTTGAACACACAGAGCGACTGTCACGATGAAAGATAACCAGAGGACAGCAGCGAGAATGAAAGCAAGATGCGCGTTACGGGCGAGGATGATTTAGATTTGGTTTAGTTTTGCCATCGGGATATTCAGCATGACAATATGTCGTCAGCCCATCGGTTTCATTATGCACTGAGGTTCGTCTATCGCCACCACATCCCAGGGTGTCGTTCGGCCATTTCCCATCTCGATCTGTAGTTTTGCTGAAAACTATTTGGTCCATATCCCGCGTTGAAAGAACTGTTGGCCTTGATCTGTAACCGCGGCGATCTTTGTCCTGCTGATATTGTGCCACGCGATCGTCGTCATCTTCCATCTTCCCACCTTCACTCCCGCCGAAGTTTAAGTCATCAAATATTTGCATTCAACGCGTTCGGCGCAGAGTCGCACAAGAGGAAGGGAATCCACAAGAACATGACAACAAATAATGTCAGATGTGATCAGTTTTAAAACGTTGTCCTAACCGATACCGATTAGCGAATGAGCATTGTGTGTCAATGAGGCCGATTTGGTTCAAAGCACAAAGAATGGCCGATATCTTAATTGGTTCATAGTACTTAACCTATTATATTTTGTTCATCTATGTAAGTCTTTTTTTCTTTCTTTAATGAAGATAAATTTTGTTCCTGAGGTGCCAAAATGCAATAGGCAGGATCCATTAAACTACCACCTCAGTGAATGTGCGATAGAAATTACTTCAAACCCTTATTCTAACACAGAACATCAACGAAGGGTCATTTGTTAGTGTTTGATCATTTTGATCCATGGCGTAACTCCCAGTTTTTGTTCTGTGTGATTGGAATGCTCGGCGATGATCATTTGCCTAGAATTAATAATTTGATTGGGTGATATGCAGTGTTTTGGGCTTCATTTATTGTTCATTTGGTGATAAGCATGCCCATACGTGGTGCGTCTTACAAACTTACATTCTTGTTTATGCACATGCCAACAGCTGAGCTCTGACTATAATTTGTGGAGATGAGCCAAGCCGCCCTGCTTCATTTTTTGTGGGTCTCGTGAACTGTCAGTCGTTTGTTTAGAACATGCATTCAAGTGTTAACGGCACTTTCTTAACAATATCAGCGTATCTTATATAAGTGTATGTTATAACAATAAATACATAAGTTATGTACGTATACACGAATACGTGTATATGTACATATATATATATATATATATATATATATATATATATATATATATATATATATATGTAGGTATATCCATGTAAGTATCAAAATATAGAGATGAACAAACCAACGTTTTTTTTTTGTTCAATATCAGGTTATCTCGTAGTAGTATTGATGCCGTAACCTAGTTCTCGAGGTCCTATCCTCCAAAAGTATTGTGTTGGCGAGGTTGTTGGTCGATCGATACAGGCATTGTGATGCTATCAATACACGCTAATGCTTCTAAGCAGCCTTCACTATCTCGTTGGCCGAACTTTTATAATATGTCATCAGCTTTCTCGTCGTCTTGAATTAGCCGCCAGCGTGAAAGATTACTTACTCAGATTTTTCAAGACAAAAGCAAAACAAAATTGGGCTGGGTATTAGACGTGTTTAGTTTAAGCGGCCTTTTCATATTCGGCAGCTCTAAATTTGAGCATGTGTCGTAACAGAGCTGGCTTGGCCTACTCCATGACCTCGCTGAGCCGAGACGAACCAGAGGACCCAGCCAGGGCGTTTCACACTAGCGGTGCACTACACAAGTGGAGGTACTGATTTCTGTTTCGCAGGATGACTGGTTTTCATTTCTCCCGCCCGGTTTCAGGCGTCGGTGCCGACTGCCGTTTTAGCTGCACTGGAGTCCTGCATTGCTCTCATTCCTTTTACAATTTCGTCAGCTCACTGCGGTGCCCTCTGATAACGGACATCTTTCCAAAAATACCCTCAACCCAGCCAGCACACCTCCGCGTCCATTAAGCCGGGCGCACCCGATGAACACCAAACAGGCTCCTGAGGCCGTTCGGCGGCAATCGGCCGCTGAGGACCACCACCCTGGCAGACGAGCTGGTCCCGGGGTGGTGACCCTTGTCGCGTCACGTGACCCGCACAGCCGGCCAGCTCCTGTCGCTGTGGTCTCATCTCGCCCCGGCTAAACGGATAGGCCGGGGGGATTGCTCTTATCCTGGGAACGTAGTGCGGATGTGACGAGGGGTTCTGGTACGTGCCAGCTGCTCGTTGACACCTGTACTCTCACCGAAACCCAGCGGCATGACACGAAATTAAAGGGGATGCTCCACATTTGAAAATATTGAAGCAGGCATCAGATATGATGAACGAAGCTTAATTTTAATTATTGGTATACTTCTGAGTAAAAAAGAGCACTCTAGAAGTCACAGTTCCTCTGTTTAGTAAATATGCCCCCCCCCCCCCCCCATACATCCTTGTTTGATCACGCCATGGAGTCTTGCACGACGTTGAGAGCCAGTTGACGGCCATTATATAAGGAAATCGTGCTCACGAGCGCCAGATATGAACGAAGGGCAATTACATTTGCCTTTGCCTTGATCGCCGCATGATCGCCTGAGTAGCAGGATTTGAATGATGCTATTACGGGGTCTTAGACTCCTGGGTGATCTTAAAATAGTCTCCACGAAATAGTCTACACATCTTCGCGAGCGTGTGACTCGGTAACTAGAGAGGTTTAATTTTTAAGCGGGGCAGGGCCGTGAACTGCACAGAATGATCTTCAACACGACTATTTCAGTTCAAAACCTCCTAAAAATATGGAACGCTCCCTTTAGGAGCTCTGTGAACGGACCGAAACGCACCAGCATGCCTTCTTATCAGGGATGCAGTTTCTTATTCAGTTGAAGAGGGCAACTTGGGCTCCAGTCCCAACTTTGAGCAGAAAGTGGTTGAAATCCTGGGAGAAACCCGATGGTTGGATAGTTTGGAGTAGGTTGATTCATCTTCTCGTTGTCCAACCTCCCCCAACTCATCTTACGAAACGACGCCCCTGATACCTTTACAGTAAATAACCCACGCAAGTGTTCTACGGCGGGTTTTCTGGGGCGGGCCTGAGGACTGCGGTAGGCCTGGAGAACTGCGGCAGCAGTCATTTAGCAGCTCGGTGTGGATGGGTTAGACACCGAATTTCTGTAAACTGCATTCCAGCAGCGATGCACTGTTCGGCTATAACACCGTCCGGATCGGCATAACAGATCGGCGCAACACCGATCGGCATCACAGCCGCTGCCGCTTCAGTTCACGGTTTACAGCACACACACACTGATCACTGATCACAAGTTCGCACACCGTCTCAGCGGATGGGCGCGAGGGCACGCACACACGACAGCGCGGGTACTCACCCGACTCCGTCTCCTTTTTCTTCTTTTTCCCGAACAGGAAGCTCATGACGCCTGCCTGCAACAGCCAGGGCGGACCTCAGTGAGCGCGCTCTCCCGAACGGAGGCGCCCCGCCGCGCGTGTGGCTCGAGACGGAGCCAACCCAGCACCAGCCCGCCACCGACTGCCGCCGCCGCCAAAAAATCCATAGCCGAAGGCGCGCGGGCGGGGAGGGGAGGGCGCGGGATGGCCACTGATTGCTAGCGTGGACCGACACCTCGCGCGCGCGGCGTCGCGGCGGCCGCCGGCGGCGGGCCGGGGACGGCAGCGTGATACAGGGTGGGGAGGGGGGGGAGGGGGGGGGGGTGGGTGGGTGGGAGAGACCGGGGCGCAACACTGTGTGCCGGCATGTTTAGCCGGACGCAGCCTGCAGCAACGCAGCTGGCGGAACAACGCGCTGCGCACTTCGTTGAACACAGTAGGTACCTGCTACCGAATCATGACAAAACTGTCGGAAGGGGGGAAAATTCCAAGCATCGCTGAATAAGCGGATGATAAGGCATGGCCACTGCTCCCTCTGAGCAATTGCGTGCTGCGGCATGCTGCCACGGAGCATCTGTGTAGTTTCCTATTCAGATGGGGATTTGGAGCTGGAAAAGCACGTAATGGGGCAGCAGGGCAGCGCTGCGGTGGCGGGCTCTGATGCAGGGCCGCGCCGCACGCTCGCGGTTGAGTACGCCGAGGGTGAGTGTGAGCAGGCGAACTTTAAGTAGGGAGCATGCTCCCCTCGACGGTGCGCAGATTGCTCTGTGCACATAGCCTTGGCGGTATGTTGACATGCGATGCACTTTGGTTCGTAAGTGCATAGATAAAATCGGTGAGGCACCTACTTCGTCGGAAGAACGACGGGTCGCAGACGTGATAGTGGTTATTACATAGAAACAAAGGCTTTTGGTGTCAAAAGCCTTCAACAATAGACAAGATTGAGGCCGATTAATGCATTGAAAATTCCGCCTGTCATGTCGATCTAGCAGGCGGAGGTTGGCTAATGCAGCATGTGTAGGTTCCAGGGCCCTATACCTCAGATGTGGCCCAGTGTGCTGTAATGGAGACTGGCTTTAGAAAATGAGACATCGACCGCTTCCCTCTCGCCTGCTGGCATACCTACCGATTGGGCAGTGTCAATATCGCTCAGCCATTTATGGATGGTTCATCAGCCTTTATCGCAGAGTTAGTTTCAGATCTATATCTGCTCTGGTTACCATAATCTGGATAAACCTTGAACGGTGCACATGAAGGGCGGTTCCCTTGTCTGCCCACGAGCGCACGTGACCCAGCCAGCGATTCGCACTCTCGCCAGTGTGACCTTCCATCCTCTCCTCCGTCAAACGATGCTGCCTTCGTGCTCTGTGACGCCAGGCCAGCGAGGTCTGAGCCCCAGCTACCATGTCCGCGTAGGTAGTCCAGACCCCAGTTCACAGTTCTCATTGCTTCTTGTGTATGCATCAAGCCCTGGTTCGATGCATAAGCAAGATTGGCCAGAGCCCATGTGGGAAGTACGTACATGCAACAAAAAACACGAAGGTTTTTCGAAGCTTTATCGTCATAGATTACAGGAATGGTGAACCTCTCCGGGATACAAATTTGCAATACGTTCTTGTCCGTTATGGAACGGTGAGTGGGGCGGCGAGTGAACTCCATTCGCTGGCGGCATCATGAACACCTCGTGGCCGCCGCCGCAGCAGGGGGCCAAAATGTCGTCAGGCCACATCACTGCCGCAGACATTTTTTAACCCATTTGCAGCACAGATACTGAAAAGCTGAAATGCTGAAAATATGTTCATTACTTATTTAACCTGTTTTGAGCACTTCTTGCGATGGAAGCTTTAAATAAGGCAGAACTGTTAGCCTTATTGCTCGCAGAATAACCGGGAGAAAGGAGACGTAGATGCATTGATATTTCGACAACATGCCTGTATGATTAAAATTTTAGTAGATGAGACGTTCTTTATTAAGGATGCTCGATAGTAGACCAGACACGGAGTCGATTTACCTGAGCAGTCAGATTTGGTTTTTACAACAATAAGCCGACAACAATAAATGCACGAAACATTTAGTTGCTCCCTTGCGTGTTTCAAACATGAAAGAAACCAGACTGTGCTTCCATGATGGAGCTACTCGATACCCAAAAATGGGATAATTTATTTTATGGTCAGTCTCGGTGGATTAGCTGACAAGATAAAGTAATCGCAATTGTTATCGCTCTTTTTATGTGCAAAGGCACGGTTTTGATGTCTCATTTTTCCAGAGTCCTTGTTCTCAGCGCCCTTGCTCCCACGCTTTCGCCGTCCCTGCTCGTGACTGTCCGCGAATGAAAGATGTACGATGAATGCGTTGACGGTCGAAAAGTGCTGTCTTTGTCTTCGAGAGCACCAGTACAAAGGATGCGTGCATCTGGTATCCAGCGCTTGTCACCATCACGATCACGATCAGGATCACGATCACGATCGAGAAAATTTGAGCTGACGGGTACCACGACCGTAAGCACTACAGATCACTTCCGGTGAAGGGCGTGATGAATACGCCAACGGTTTTGAGAAAAGGTTTTTTTTGGTCTATTTCGGGGAGACAAGATTTTATTCAGATGCCAGGCGATAACGCCATGGGAAATCTGTCTCAATAAATCCCAAAAATTTATGTCATGACTCGCAGCACTTCCCAATGTAGAGGCACTCTTGACCACAACGTATTTCGGCTTCAGAGTTCGCTGATCAAGAGCTCTTGTTATTGTTAAGCGCTAAGTCTAGATTGTGCAATGACGAAAATCTAGTACTTTTTTTGCTACGTTATAGCCATAACCGGCTTTACTTCTATGAAAAGACATCCTTGTTGGGCACGAAGGTAAGCGAATGGCTTTATCGCCTCACATGATTTATATGCGTATTTTTGCATTAATGGCACTCTGGTGCTGCAGGAATTTTAAGCCTGTTAATGCGTATCTTCATTGATCATCGTTACCGCGTTGCGTTGTCTCAATTAAATGCCACGTGCATGCGTTGTGGAGTAAGCCTTATTGTTTCACTAGAGTGAAAAGGTGCCTTTTTCTGTTACCAACGAAATTTGGGACCGTTTAAATGATCACCTAAAGCCAAATATGTCACGACCGTTGCGTTATAACTCAAAATCAAGTAAAGGCACACTTAACATAGCCAGCCTACAGGCGTGTAGTTTCCTATTCAGTTTGGGGAGGGGGGAGGGGGCGGCGGATTGTGCCTACTAACCAGCGACACAGTTTCCAATTTTTATTTATCATTTGTTATCCATTACTTTTCATTAATCATAATTTTTAGGGTTCAGTCCCCAATAAATATTATGAGCCTACACCCCTCCTGCTAACTCTGGACAAAAGGTGCGTCAAATCTGTGGAGAAAACAGATTTAAGTGCATTTCGGAGGCAGGTCCAGATACTTCTTTCTGCACCCCTCCCCCTCTCGCATTTTGCAAAAGTGCATTCCTGTAGCCGTGCGCGTACCGATAGCATGGATCTACAGGCACCTGGAATCAATCCCTTTTGGTTTTGTGACGTCATCGTTTATCAGCTGGAAGCACTGGCGACTTTCACCGTATTCAAATCATTACCGGCGCATAGCTTGCACTTCTTAACGTGATCCCAGTCAATTAGTCCGAAACCCAAGCAATATTAGTATTAACGGATGCAAACCACATTTTTAACCCCTCTAGCACCTTCATCTAGCCATATATCTAACATGATGACAACTAAAGCGTTTTATCTTACAGCTGTCCACCAGTCATAGCGCTACGTCTGAGGTGCGACGAGCATTTTGAGAGGCCTTCACCAGCGATGGCCGGCATCTTATCTCAAAGCCGATGTTCCTCTCAAATAGGCCCAGCGGTGGATGGCACAGCCGAGAGAGGCCTCTCACGGCTTCACTGAAGGGGCTGAGTAGTCAACCGAGGTCATTTGAGTGATTCCCATGATGAATGGCGCGGTCTCTCGGCTTTGTTTTGATTATGCTCCCTTTTCTAAAGGGAGATGCTTCTCGTACGCTGTGTACAAACACCGGCCATGCTATCCAGGAAAAGAAACTCCCCGGCCCCGTCACTCTAAATGCCTTCGAAGGTATTCTAAGATTTGTCGCTTCGTCCTACTCGAATTAGCATGATTGTGAGGAGACCAGTCAACCCAATGATCCCTTTCAGACCGTTCCTGCTACTGTGGACAAGTTGGACGGCTCCGCGGCCGCAGAAGTAACCAGAGCATTAGTATATTTCAGATGCAAGGCACCCGCTAATATTCTCCACCATTCCACTGAATGAGATCGTTCCTCGCAGTTCCAAGGCAGTCTTCCATATATACTTTAAGTCTGTCTTAATATTCTATTAAGTTTGTGAGGCTATTTGGACCGGTCTCAGATCCTCCATTCAGCTCACAGTCGCCGCCTATTCGCGAGCGTTCCTTGATTCAAAGGTCGCTTTGTGACGATTCAAGATCCACATATCGGTGCACTGAAATGGTCCCGTGTTGACTTTTCTGCATGTTTGGACGGCGTAAAGGGCACCATATCCCGTCGAGAAGCAGCCGCGACCCCGCCACGCCCGGCCTCAAGGAATCCTTGTCGTGCTAGCCGGTGCCCTTGAGAGCCGGCTGCTTGACAGCAGGGGTCGTCCGCGCGGCTGACGGCAGCGTTGGCGACGCCTCCCGGCCGGCGTCAACAGGCCCAGGTCATGCTCGCCTGCCAGCCCACTTCAGCGGGGCGCCTCTGAACCGAGCGCATCAACGGGATAGCCGGCGCCGATGCTGCCAGCGCGGCCGAGGCCAGGGCTATATTGGGCCGGCGGGCCGAGGCTGCGACGGAGAGTGGGATTAGCTATAAACTGGTTTCTGTCGGTTGGTATGTTCATTGTCGCTTCTGGAGACAAAGATTTCATCGGTCATGACATGGGTGCATGACTTTTTCAATGCGGAGACTAAAATATAGGATGCCGTCTTTGTTTCGCTAAGCAACGAGTGTCCTTTAATCACAGGGAGTACCATACCCTGGGGCATATTTCAAAAA